TAAAACACAATATTTTTTTAATAAATCTAATATGTCATAATGATAATTTTCATATTCTAAATGATTCATCTATAAATATACGCAGTTCTGAATATAAGTTTCGAGTACTTTGACCAAATATCTTCAAACAACTTTCTTACATAAATAGTTTCATTTATAAAACTAATGAATAAAAGAATGCATATAGGAATATTGTATACATTTATTGACCTTTTTAGATCGTTGTATGGAAAATTGACACTATAATGAGTAGAAAGTCATTATTAATTTGGGTTTAACTATTTTGTATCAGCGCAAGTTGAAGCTGATAATGTCATCGATTTGAACTTAAGCCCACCCATGGAAGAGCCTAAACAAAATGTTGATCATTTAGTTGAAGATCCAGGTAAACTATGTCCCAATATTTATTTATTAAATCTAAGATGTAATGACATGTCATAATGACAATTTTCATGTTTTAAATTATTTAACTATAGATATACATTTCTAGTACTTTAACCTAATATTTTAATCAAACAATTGAATTCACGTGTACATAAACTCACCTACTTCGCCGGAAACAATGGCCTTTCTCTCCAAATTTTTTTTTTTTTCACGTAAATAGTTGATAAAACTGATAAAGAAAAGCATGCATATAGGAATATAGTATACATCTATTGACCCTTTTGAGACCGGTGCATGGAATACTCGGAGGAACGTGGAAAATATAATGAGTTGAATTATAATAGTAGAAAGTAATTTTTTATTTTGGATTTAACTATTTTGTACCAGCGGCGATCGAAGCTGATACTGTCCTTGGCAACAGTACGAGGGCAGAAACATTGACTTTTCATCAAAAACGGTTAATTTTTATTGCTTTGTGGGAAAGGAGTTATTACGGAAAATTGGCAGGGAATGCCACACAAGAGGTATCAGAAATGTTTTCGATACATGTTCGAACTGCTGAAAGGATATGGAAAGAAGCTAAAGAGAATCCTGGTACTTACAGCCATATGTACAAAAATTTGTAAAGTTAAATCATTACAAATATTGGATGAAACTCTGGATATTCTCTATGAAGAACATCTTTTACTATATCATCAACTGTAATGCTTTACTAAATAAAGAATAAAAAGCAAGAATTTGATTCTGTTTATCTAATATGAACCTTTGTTGTGTGCTTCATGAACCAGTTTTGTAATATGCATAGTATCGTACATGTTTATGAAACTTTGTTTTTACTTTCTTTTAAAGATATACATGATCTCGTACGATAGAATAAGTAGAACATTGAAAATGTGACAGTTTTCTGTTGCATTTGCTAATCTAAAATTGAAATGATAAGAGGACCGTAGCAGGGCCGGCTCAACATTTATTCGGGTCCCCGGACGAAATTTTTTAAAACTTTTAATATTTATAGTTATTAAAAGTTTAAATATATTCTAAAATTTTTATCATTACCATTTTTATAAATTTTGTGGTAAAAATAAATCATGTCTATGTAAAATATTTTTGTACCCTATTCAACTAAAATTATGTATATGTAAAATATTTTAGGGCTCTATTCAACTAAAATTTGTAAATATTTAAATTTTTTTATATACAAATACGTATGTATAAAAAAATATTGAGTCCCTTAATTAGTAAAATTGGGGGGACACGGTTTGGACCGGGGCGGTCGCACCGTTTGTCCCCCATGTAAGCCGGCACTGGACCGTAGTCTTTTGCTGTTTTGGGCTAGCTGAGGATTTCTAGGTTCCCAAATTTGAGTTTCGTCCTGAGAAGGATCCGGCCTATCGGAGGAGAGGGAAGATAAACTATTGTCACAAAGTTTCTTGAGATCCCATGCATGCGAGATGAAACACCAACGATCTGAATAGGCTTACACCAAGCTCTTTAGAAGATAGCATAGCTTTAGGCACTGCAACAAAAAGGGACATGATTATTAGGGGATGTGAGTCATGTGACCAAAGCTCGTTGGAAAGGAATTTATATTGCATCAATGGACGCATAAGTGATCTCTCTGTCTTGTATCGGGGCTCATCTTTTCATCATAGGTCAACTTTTGCATAAATTTTGGTGAAGTGGCTTTGAAGTTCATGAGATTAGGGAAATCTTCAGCAACAACATGGAGCTTAACAGCTTCCTCCACATTTAGTTTAGATTATAGCATAATCATTTATTTTCGAAAATTGTGTTTGGAAGAATAAACTTTTAATCTCTAGATTAATATTTCAGCGAAGCAAACGTAATAAAATTCTAACTACAATTCTTATGCGTTAGTTAATATCTACAGTTCATATTTTTACTCTCTTCTAACCTCTCAATATTTTTAAAACCACTCTGTCCCAGATTTAATTGTTGTTTTTGTTCTTTGATCGAAGCCAGCAGTAAGAGAGTTAAAACAAACAAAAGATCAGTGAAACGAATTCCTTTAAGTGTCACAAAAACAATTCAGTGAAACGAAGAGGGATGAAGTCGGAAAAGAATAGAAAAACGAAAAGACAAAGTTTGCGCGCCAGGTAGGGGTCGAACCTACGGCCTTCTGCTTAGGAAACAGACGCTCTATCCACTGAGCTACAGGCGCAATTATTAGCTACCAGCGGTCACTTATTTTATTTACTTCCTTTTTGAACGTAGAACTAACCCTTAACATATACAAAGAGAACTTTTAGTGGTGATTATCTCACTAATCTAATACTGTTCGTATCTTTTTATTGTTAAATCCTTGTAAATATTCTTGTTCCATAAAAGATATCCAATAGTCCAAACCAAAACCAAAGAAAAATAAGAATCGTGTATGCAGTGCCAGTTCTTAGTTTATTTAATAAGATCAGCTAATTATGACATTTCGTCATATATTTTGTGAACTTTGCGTTATGTGCAGATCACCGTTAAATTGCACGTATGTATACTACTGAGTTTTGAGAAAATTATGTAATGTTATTATGATCAAAGTTTCCTTCCCTATGGGTTTTTTTTTTTTAATTCCTATGGTTTTAAGTAACCAAGTGTATTTTCTGTATGAAATATGAATAAAACATATGTCGGTTTTCACTCCCTGAAATTTGGTTGTCTCATCACCAATAATTCTCTAAGTACTCTTTGCACTCGTCGCCTCTTAATTGATCTACAAGCTTGTTATTATGTAAACTATTTTTCATTTTATTTCAATATTCCTATGATATTTCAGTTGTCTTCTTCACATCCTTACAATGGCGATGATGAGATCTACGTACATTTATGCTGGGCCTGGCCATGGTTTTTTGTTCCCAGTCCGTTGTTTTGAATCGGACTATTATTGGCAGACTTTAACTTCTGCGATGATTCCAATGAACACCTAGCAAGGCTTTTATTTCACGCCTTCACGGTGATACTATAAGGAGATATGGCTTTGATAGACTTTTAAACCATGTCTGTTCATATTTAATTTGCTTCGTTTTAATCCACAAGTGGCTCTTCCTTAGCATTCCTTCTAGTGGGGTGGGGTGGGGGGGGGGGGGGGTC